CTAGTAGTAACAAGTGCCTTACTAGTAGTAACAAGAAGCTATGTAAATTTATTTTTGACAGGCTTCAAGGAGATTCCTCCTTGTGAGATGAACCCATGTCTCAAGGGTGACGCCATGAGCCTTGGAAATTCCAGTTGAACGCTGAATTGGTGGCCCTAGACAATATATATATATACTTTATAACTTATGCTTATACAATACTAATACTAATCTATAGATGCATTCTGCCTATTTATGGGCCAGTAGATGAGGACATGCTCCAAGGGGTGCAAGAAGTTCAAGTATTTCATAGCAATTACTCGTCAAGGAGCATACGTGAGACGACCTGGTCTTGTGTATTTCAATATTGGCTACCTACTGTTATGGCTGGATGGGCACCACATCTTCTCAACGTTGTGTTGGAAATCATTGGTGTAATGTGTTGTTCCGGTTGAATCAAGAATCGACCCTTTGTAGGATTCCAGTATTCAGCCGTCAATCAACGCTGCCGGAAGAAAAGAAGGCAAACTATATAGGCCAAAGACAATGCTAGCACAATGCTAACATGGCTCATAGAGATGTGCAGTTGGCTTTGCATTTTTTTCCGTTTAAACTGGGTCTTGCAGGGTCACAGGACGAAGCAGTGCCAGTAGCAACCAGCCGAGGGTGAGTCTGGAGACGGGTCAAAACAGTTAGCCCTGGTCCACCATATAGCTTCACCATGCTTCACCTCCCAGGTAGGTGAACCTTAAGGCCCCCAACGTATCCTGGTGCCATGACTATCCATGACATTCCATGACTCCAAGATTACATCGGAATGATATCCGCACCGAAAAGAAACACCCCGGGTCTTACTAGACAGCCTTTTGGGAATCAGCCAGAAGCCATGAATCATCAACACCGAAAATGGGAGAAGATGTACGCGCCGTCGCTCATGCTACGACCGGTGCGACGCCCACCGAAAGGCGGTCGAAGGGATGGGGAACCTGAAGGGGTTGGGAACCTGTCGGCACCAAAGCAAACACATCCAAGCACACCTGTAAGCATGTCAAGGGTAGCCAGCCTGTGTTTGGCTATTGGTTGGAGGAATGTGCCAAAGATGTTGGTCAACACAATCATCAACACATCCGAAGTTATTTCATGTCGAACCCCTTTGTTTGATTGGATGGGTAGTTTATGGTAGTTTGACCCGGCAAGAGAGGTGCAATTGGCCAATTATTACAAGTGACTGTAAGGGTATATGCATGTATCCAAATGCTCAGGAATAGTGTTGCTGCATTTTCTTGGGTGCCGTCACCTGGTGCTGGGTTTGAGTGTAGCACTCTGAAGTTTGTCGGAACAACTTTGAGAGTGTCACTGGCGTAACTGTTGGATCAGCGGCCCCTCGGAAATGCTAAAAAACCAAAGCAACAAGCAGCCAAGATGAACATTCCACAACATCCCCATGTTGTGCTATGTGTGTTCATTATGTTTTCATATGTTTTCTTGTTGTCATTGATTCTTGCATGATTCCAATTGTTCCTTGATCGAACGTTTCTCGAGTCGGGGAAGCCGTTGCAATCCTGTAGATCTGAGATCTTCCGCCTTTGAATTCAGATCAACTGGGGCAGCTCTGGAGGAAAGGGCAGAGGAGGGCACAAGGATGCCCCCCCGCAATGAAGTACCCATTGCCAAGCCATGTGCGTGAATGAGTTGGCTACCTTCAACTCAAGATGCCTGATGCCTAAGGGCAAAGATGTCAGAAAGGCATCTTGAGGAGTCAACCTTAGTTCAACCTTGGTTCATTCGATAGGTGCGGATTCATAGGAAATCATAGGAAGACCTATAGAAGTAGCTGGCCACTTCCCTTCTCAGCTATGCGGACACCCACCCTTCTATAGAAGCTTTAGAACTCTCAGCAACTTAGAGGGACAGCCATGGCCATGTCCTTTAACTACCATTATGTATATCTCATTGTTCCGTCACTCTCAAGCGGTTTTAAAGGATGAAAGGAACATCTTACAGCTGGAAATATCCAGAGTTTTGGGCCTTAGAGGTGAAAACCGTGGAATCCTGTGGATGTTTTGGTCCCTTTAACCCCGAAAAAATCTGTCCCAACGATGAGGTCCAGTCCAGTCCAGGTCCATCTGCCCTACCTCTAGAAGCCACATGGCCGACCTGTGAGAGTACAGTCGGGAAAGCCATGGGACTTCTCAGCCATTCCAGGCTGCCTGGAAGTCCTTGTCCACGGTCGATGGAACAGCGCTCAAGCCGGGGCACACATCAGCCGTGCAGAGCGATGTGGGTCGAGCTGCGGCGACGTAGCCAGATATTGTAAAATGGTCCGACAAGTCACAAGATGTCCAAGGATGTTTCTTGCAGATGGCCATCAGGTGCCATAATAACGACTGACTATTACATACCATTGCGACATCACACGAAAAGGAGCCGTTCGGCTGCAGCTGCGAATCTGCAGTGCCCCTTGTCTTTTACATGGCGCCCAGCGGTCTCCACAACCGCTGGCCTTCCTCTTTTCGAGCTTTCGATAGCTATTCATCAGTCGCAAAAAAGAGGCATGTGAGCCGGGAGCTGACAGCTGTGAAAAGCAGGCAGAACAGGCAGACTCTTTCAAGGGCATGAAGACAGGAAGGCAGAAGGATGGAAAGTGGGGGCAACATAGGGGAATTGGATGGACATGTTTTGTGTCATTTTGCTGGCATCTCTTGTCTTCAGTCTATGTATTTATGTTTTATATATATATATATTTATACACGGAATTTGCTGAGTGAGCAGCCGACGTCTCATGACTCATGACTCAAGAACAAGCTCATGACGTCTTATGAGGTCTCATGATACGAGAATGACCGGCCAGGATGGGGCCGTTTGTTCTCGCCACGGCCAGGCCGACGCAGACTTTTATTGCCTGGAGTATGTTCATGTTAAAACCTATAGTACTGTGCTGCAGACGACTTGGATGCCCTCCCAATTGGTCCCCCCACACTGGAAGGGATTCCAGGCAGCCACGGTTTCCAGAGCAAGAAGCTGTTCCACTTCGATTTCTTGGAGGGAGGGATTGCTTCTTTGCTTCTGCCTCATGACGGGCAAAGCTACCTGCACTGGGTGGATCGGTCATCAGCTTCTGCGTGGAAGCAAACAATCGGAATCTTGATCCGTGGCGACTTAGAAGTAGCCTATGGGTAGCCTATGGTAGCTCTTCAACAATGGTCAATTGGGCTCTGTAAGTCCCATCCGTGACCTGATTGGATCGGTCACGACCTGGCGGTCGGGTTCCTCGAAGCCCTTCGTGAATCGATCAGTCAGTCTTCCGGTTTTCGATGATTCGGTTGGTGCCCGCTCCTTCCCCAAGAGAACTCCGCGCCAAGAGGGTAGACGTACCGCAGCCGGGAGCTTGTACAGTGCGAAGGCTCTGCCCGGCAGGGCAGACGGGTGTGGGATGGAAAGGATGAGAGGGCAGACTTTCCTGTTCGGTTCATCTTTCAAAAAGTACAGGGGGTCCAACTGGTGGGCTTGTGGGCAGTTGTCATTTGACCGTTGAAGTGTGAGTGAGTGCGGATGTTACAATGGTTGGCTTCTCCGTTTTATTCCAACTTCCAGAGGTCCAAACTGTCAGACATGTCCCAGATATCCAACCACCATTCAATCGATGTTAATAGCTTCGTAGCCTTTACAAAACAACCATCGGACCATCGTCTTATGTCAGGATGTTGTAGCTACATCATGCTACATCTATTTTGTTCTTGAATCTTGGAAGGCTAGGGCATTGCTTGTTTGATCTTTCTTGTGTACCCCATCAAGCTGCCATGAGCAATGTCAATTCTTCTTAACATAATGACAGACGGTCAACCAAACACCGGTGGTGGCGATAGAGCGGTCATCAAGCTCAAAGGTAGACTCGACTATATCAGTTAGTTGTTATGTTTCATGGAGCCAGCAATGGCACAGCATCTTTAAAAAGTGTTTAAATCTGGCTGGGGTGAGAATCAATCTTTATACAATCATTATTAGGGTTCACCATCCGTTGGTTTTTCATGCTTTTTTCACCTGACATATTGTCTCCCACACCATGCCTGGGAAGCCTTCTGGTCCCCGTTCCAGGCTGCACCAAGGATCGACCGGATGAGCGTTCCAAGCCTCCAACAGAGCGTTCCATTTGACAAGCGCTTCGCCGAAGCGAACAAGCGCCTCGGCCTCGGCACCGACCCGCCGATCGACCGGAGCCACCGGTGAGGACCGGCCTTCGAAGAGGGACTTGTTGGGGGGGTCCACTGGTCAATCGTCCGATGTGGATGGACGCGAGGTGGATGTGATGTGGATGTAGGCAATGTAGGCACCATCCTGACCTCCCAAAGAGTCCAATTTAGGTGATTTAGATGAACCCATTTGTTTAAGACATCTTTGGGTGCTGGGTTGCCGAAACCACCGCAGCAGGACATAGGGACAGAAACCGAACAGAATAGCAAGCAACTAGGTTTCTCTTTGATGATGGTAAGCTACGTTGTTTTGTTTTTTGTTCTTGCAGGCCTGTTTGTCACGGTAAAGTCTTCTGTATTGTCACTTGAGGTGTGGTATATGTCAGCAATTGCAGACCAGTTGCTTAACCTTGATGCATTGACCTTCTCCTCAGAACTGCAGCATGACTTGTTTCTTTCCCAGCTGAATTTGCCATGCTGAATCTTGAGCATGCTCTCAAAACGTTGCCTTTAAGATCGCTGTATACAAGGAAGTTGACTTGTTTGACTTGGCCTGTCCCTGCGAGGTTGGAGGCAACCCAATCCCAGCATATGCCAAGAAAAGCCTCATGATCCTATCAGCATGCACTTGGGTGAAAAGCATCATGGGTAGTTACTCCCAGTCCTTGTGGTTTGTCTATTTTTCATCACCTTTGGGCCATCAAACTGATGATTTTCATCGCCCGTTGACATGGTCTACACTGAGGATCCTGAACAAATATCCTGATCGTATCCCAGTGATTTGCACCTCGGTGGCTTCTTGGTGTTTTGTCGCTCACAGAGACGCAGTCACGTCTCTGAAACGACCAGTGGTGGATCAGCAGTCCGCGTGCGTGCCATGTGGATATTATGAAAATGCCATGAGATGAACTAGGGTAGGGTAGTGGGTGGGGTATGTATGGTGATGGTATTGCTGCCTCACTTGTTTTTATGCCACATGGCCAGATG